TATCTCTTGACTCGTCAGAACCTGGTAGCCTATCTGTACTTTATAAGATAGATTTCACATTCTCTCCCCACATCCCTCCAAGAGGAATGGATTACTCTGAAGGAGAGGGCTTACATCTGCTCGGGGATCCTACATAAATCACTGCTGCACAGCTGGAAGCTCTGAAGAGTATGTTATTGTGGAACACTGCTGGGCTCTAAACCTTCAGGGATAGGGATCACTCGGTTCATGACACACTGCATAAAAAGGAACACTGTTTAAACAGTATTGTTCTGAAGAATACATAATCCATGGAAGGATGTTCATGGTATTTTAAATATTATACACACGTGCATATACACACAATGGTAAATTCCTGCTTTGACCTTGTATTACAATATATTTCAGAGTTTTTCAAAAGAGTGGAAAAAATCAGTATCTTGGATTTTCAATAATACTGGCTTGATTCAAACGGCTAAACCCATGCATTAAAACTCTGTAGTGATGATAATCTTGCTTTGTTAGACCATTGAATGCCAGGGTCCTCTCATTTTTATTTATATGGTTATATTTTGTTAAGAGAGCAGGCTGAAAAGTCATGTGTGCATTTTAATTCCAGTATGTTTTAATACATAAAGTTGTAACATTTTCATCAAAATGAACAGATCAATTTGAAGAAAGGATTCTAAGTGGGTTTTTTGTTTGTTTGTTTGTTTGTTTTAAGATATATTTATTTTTATTGGAAAGTCAGATATACAGAGAAGAGACAGAGAGGAAGATCTTCTATCTGTTGATTCACTCCCCAAGCCGCCATAACAGCTGGAGCTGAGCCTGTCTGAAGCCAGGAACTAGTAACCTCTTGCGGGTTTCCAACGCAGATGCAGGGTCCCAAGGCTTTGGGCCATCCTCAACTGCTTTTGTAGGCCACAAGCACAGAGCTGGATGGGAAGCAGGGCTGCTGGGATTAGAATCGGTAACTGTATGGGATCCCGGCGCGTTCAAGGCAAGGACTTTAGCTGCTAGTCTACCACACCAGGCCCGGATTCCAAGTTTCATTATATTTCCCTAGTTTTCTGTAATGAAATTAGACAAATACTACAACAGACATTTTTAAAATGACACCAAAGTAGTGACATTGTCGCAGCACCTGTCCTGTACCCATTGCCCAGCTTCAGCAATGTTAATCATCTTGCCAATTTTATTCTATCCTTCCATACTGGAGGGAGGGAAAAGAGGGCTAGAATAGTTTAAAATAGACCCCAAATATTTTACCTTTAAACACATAAGTATACATTTCTAACTGCTAAAGAGCTTTATATATATATCATTATGCCATTATTGTACCTAACAAAGTTAACTAATTCCTTAATACCTCAAACTCCCCTTTTTTATTTAGGATCTAAACAAAGTCCACAGATGTTGTATTCATAAAGAACGGGCTACATTGTGCTTGGCCAATTGCGGCTTTTTGTCTTATTTTCTCACTTCTCCATATTTCTAGTAAACTGGTAATTGGATATGGAGAATTGCTTGTATTCAAATTGTTTTCTTGGGCATGAATACTTTGTAGGCAGTGGTGTACATTATCAGCTGTTTATAATATCTTTCTACTTTGTGAAATGTTTAAGTTGATGTCAGACTCTTTCTTATTCTTTTTTTTAAAGATTTATTTTTATTATTTTTTTATTGGAAAGGCGGATATACAGAGAGGAGAGACAGAGAGGAAGATCTTCCGTCCGATGATTCGCTCCCCAAGTGAGCGCAACGGGCCGATGCTATGCCGATCCGAAGCCAGGAGCCTCTTCCGGGTCTCCCACACGGGTGCAGGTTCCCAAAGCTTTGGGCTGTCCTCGACTGCTTTCCCAGGCCTCAGGCAGGGAGCTGGATGGGAAGCAGGGCTGCCAGGATAGAACCTGCACCCATATGGGATTCCGGGCGTGCAAAGCGAGGACCTTAACCACTTGCGCCACTGCGCCGGGCCAACTCTTTCTTATTCTTTGTGGATGTTTTTATGAAGCATTGATGGGCCTGGAGCCATGATTTCACAGACTGCAGAATGTCGATTTTTTTTTTCCCTATCATTGCTTATGCATTTATTTGCTGAAATTTGTCTATAAAAGACACAATGAGCATTTAGTGAACTTTCTTAGTTTTTAAAAATATTGCTCAGAAAGAAAATAGAAAACAGAAAAATTAAAAATTATCTAAAATCATGGAATGCCATTGAAACAATTTTAAGCATGGTCAAATTCAAACTTCTACTGGAGCACAGGTTATGGGATAGCAAGTAAATGAGTAAATCTAACACCTCTGACACTGCATCCATAAGGATGCTAGTTCGAATCCTGACTGCTTCACTTCTAATCCAGCTCCGTATAATAGCCTGGAAAAAGCAGCAGAAAGTGGCTGAGGTGTTTGGGGCTGTGCCACCCATATGGTAAGCCTGATACAACTCCAGCTTCCTGGGTTTCCAGCTTCAGTCTTCCCGGTTCTGGTTATGTCATTTGCTGAATAAACCAGCAGATGGTAGTTTTCTAACTTTCAAATAGATCAATATTTTTTAAATAAAATAAACTTTGCTTCTGTGAAACTTTAGTCAGTTGGCTTGCTTTTTCTTGGCCTTGGTTTTCTCATTATAAACCGGTAGTACCATTTTCTACATTCTTGCAGAGATGCTATGAAAATTAGATCAACTGGTGTTTGTAAAATATTTGGTAGAGCGTAACTTCCTAGATGCTTCAGTATATTAGTTCATTCATTCAGATATATATACTTTACTGAATGCAGGCACTGTAAATAAGAGAGTAAACATTTAAAGATAAATTAAACAGGATAATATGGTAAGTACTAATGGAAGAAGAAAAATGGACTGGGGCTGGCAGCTGGGTAAGGAATGCAAGACACAGCATTAGATATTCAACATGTGCCTCAATTTGAAATACAATATTTCAGCAAAAATACAGAAGAAATGGAAGAGTTGACTTAATAGGTGTCTGGAAGTAGAATCCAAATAAAGGGAGTGTGCCTGGCATTTTCAGCCAGGAGGAGAGTGATGGAAAAAAATGTTATTAAGGTAAGAAGGCCAGATTATTTATGACCCTGTAAAGCTGTGGTAAGGAAATAAAATGGAAGTTTTTGCCCAGGAGTGACGTAATTTGGCCTTCATCCTAAAAGATCATTCTGTGAAATGCCTCCAAAAATTAGATGAATTGATTTTATCACTTTGTTAAAGAATTCAAACATGTCACCAAAAACTGACCGTAAAGGAATCATGCATGCCAGTCTCAGTTCCTTACTTTTCATTTTGAGGTAAAATGCATTTTTTTGAAAGAAACTGTATGATAAAAACCAAGATTAAAATATCTAACCTTAAAGTTTTATTTTCTTTATTATGTCAGTATATAAACAAAATTAAACCATAAAAGACATATGCCAGCTGCTGTGTTTTAGGAATCTGTGGTCTAGGACCAGAATGATACCATGGACATGATAAGAATTACCCTAATTCTGAATTTTGAAACTAAAATAGAAAGGAATTGGGCCTGGCACAACATCTCAGTAGTTACATCCTCACCTTGCAAACACCAGGATCCTGTATAGGCACCATAGTGTCCTGGCTGCTCCACTTCCTTTCTAGTTCCCTTGTGGTCTGGGAAAGCAGTAGGCAGGCCATATCTAATGGATATGAAGAAGCAGCTTGGTATATAAATGGAATTGAGGAAGATTACCTAGAGGTTAATACAAATTTCAGAGGCCCCAGCTTGGATTTTATTTAAAGGTGTGAAACTGGATCTTGGTACTCAAAAAGAGCATGGAGAAGCAAGCCCTGGGGCATCTCAGCATTAAGTGTTGGAAAGGAGGGCCGCGTGGTGGCCTAATGGCTAAAGTCCTCATCTTGCATGTGCCAGGATCCCATATGGGCATCATTTTGTGTCCCAACTGTTCCACTTTCCCATGCAGCTCCTGCTGTGGCCTGGGAAATTAGAGGACGGCCCAAAGCCTTGGGATGCTGCACCTGTGTAGGAGACCCAGAAGCTTCTGGCTCCTGACTTCAGATTGGCTCAGCTCAGCCATTGTGGTCATCTGGGGAGTGAACCAGCAGATGGAAGATCTTCCTCTCTGTCTCTGCTTCTCTGTAATTATGACTTTCAATAAAAACAGTAAATAATTTTTTAAAATGTGTTGGAAAGGAGCCAAGACCACTGTTGAGCAACCAATGAGGGAGAAAGGAGTAAGTGTGAAAGCACAGGAATGAAGGAGTTTTCAACTATTGTGTTCCCCAGTTAGTCTTTTTCTACTTGTTTATACTAGAGCATTACATCAGAAATTGTCTTAAAGTTATATTACAATCATAAAATTCACCCAAACTTAGGGAGGTTGTGAATCTCGTCCGTTCTGCATAGGTCAAAAACCAATTCTTTCATGTCTTAACACTGTTGTAAACTGAGTCATCTCCCTGGCTCTCAGGCTCTAGCCTTGGTCTGCTGTGGAGATACAAGGGGTGGGAGTGAGAGACTTAGCAACCTTGAATTGTATAAGGAGGTTTCAAAAAAAAATCTTGGCTTGATAAGATTATATAGAGAGGCTTGAATTTAAAGTGATCTTTTATGTGTTTGGAGATAGTACCACAGTTTATGAGTTGGTTGCGATCTTTGCTCTGGGTGTCATGGTATCGTAGGGTAAGATCACCAGCTCCTTTTGTTTGAATACTTCAGTAGCACCTTGAATTGTTTGATTTTCACACTTTTCCTGCCTAGCTTATACTTAAAATGTTTGCAATTGGTTTTTTCTTTTATAATGCTGACTATAAGGAAATCATTTGATTATTCTGCTACTTTTAAATATGAATTTTCTTCATTTTGGCAGTGTTTTACCTTGTGAGAGGTGTCATACTATGTTTAAGCTTTCTTTTCGTAAACTTTTCCAGCCTTGAGAGTCAAGGTTACTCTTTAGAACTGGTAACTGCTTTCAAAGAATTACAGACTGAATTCTCTGAACTCTCCTTAACTTAAAACCTCAAGATATGTTGTCACAGAATTGATGCAGAGTGACCTACATAAAATTATTGTGTCTCCTCAACCACTCAGCTCAGATCATGTCAAAGTTTTTCTTTATCAGATTTTGCGAGGTAAGATTTTTCTTTATGAAGGAAAAGTCAGTGTCATGATATAAGTGAAATGTTTTGTTTTTCATTTGATCTTTTAAGGTTTCTTTTTTGTTTTGCAAAGTGTATTTCATAATTGTTATATGCCTGTTATTAAATAAATGGTTTTGAAACGGTGGCCAAGTAGTACTTATTTTCTGTGATAGAAGAGAAGACTGTCAAATTTGTTGGACAACTGAGTTAATGTAGAAAGGTAAATAGAATAATTACAAATCCACTAAACAGTGAATGCTTAATAGAATAGTAATATGTGTCATTGTATGACTAAATAAAAAGCAGCTGTATCCCTTATGGATGTCATTCAGCCTAGAAGCCATGCAGACTTGTCACAATGTTGGCACCTGTAGCTGAGTCTAACTCTAGAGAAACAAAATGGTCCTTAAAACCAAAGCTGATGGGTAAGACTGATAGACAGTTAAATAACTCCAGAATTTCTGATTGAGAGCATGGACTTGACTAGGAATTATATGGGCCAACCTTATTGATGCCTCTTCTGGCCACCAGTGGTGTTGTTACAAATGGAGATTGTTGAAAGCTGACACAGTGACATATTTTGTATTAAAACATGTAAAATATTTTCAGCCCCCACAAAATTCATAGAATCAGATTAGTAGAGATATCAAAACATTTGAAAAAAATAAAGGACATAATCAGTATGATAGCTAGAATATTCACCTCCAGCAGCTTTGTTGATACCCTATAGCAGAGGGAAATGGGGAAGGTACTGGCTTTTTTTACAGTTGAGAAAAATATAATTTGTTACGTTCTATTAAAAAAAAAAACACTCAGCCATGACACTGTGACCTTTAGCAGTGTTGAAACCTCTGGTCTTTCATGTCAAAAGTATTTTAAAAGTGACTAATCTCTTGAATCTCAGTGATAAAGAATACTAGCAACAAACCTGGGTGTTTACTGAGCTGTGTCAGAGCAGGTAAGTGTGTGCTGGGAACGCCTCCCAGCTCATGGAAATTCAGAGGCAGTGACAGAGCTCTAGTAGGCACGGTGATGAGCAAGCCTAAGGCATCGGTGTGGTCCTTTCTCAGCGCTGGTGCCCGAGTCGCCTCTCCCTACTTAAGCCTGTGTAACTTGTTGAATTATAGACATCATCTCCAAGGTGTGCATAGTTTCGATGATATTTTACTTGGCAGAATTGCAGTTTTCTGAGGTTTTAATAATTTTCATCCTATAGTTTAGGGAACAATTTTAAATCCTGTTTGTTTGCTTCCAAACTGAGTAAATAAAAATAATTAAATATCTGCTATTAAATATTTTTGTTATTTCAGGTTTGAAATATCTCCATTCAGCTGGCATTTTACATCGAGACATTAAGCCAGGGAATCTGCTTGTGAACAGCAACTGTGTTTTAAAGGTAGCTTTTTTAGTGTACTTAAGTGTGTGAGAAAAACAAGAATATCAAACTTAAGGAAGGCTTTGTATTTCTTCTTTGTAGAAGAAATAGTTTATTCTCATGACTGCCACAAGTTCATGAACTCTCCTCTAGCAGTATCTAGTTAGCCTTCGCAACTTACCTATAATCTTGGCTCGTGTTTTTTTGTTGTTGTTTGTTTTTGTGTGTTTTAATGATACTTTGCCTGTATTTTGGAAATGCAGTCATTGAAATTATGGGGGACCAGCACTGTGATATAGAATGTAAAGCCTCCACCGCCTTTTGGTGCTGGCATCCCATATGGGCAGTAGCTTGAGTTCCTGCTCTCAGTCACAATGCCTGCTAATAAGCCTAGGAAAGCAGGACACAGACCCAAGTGCTTGGGCCTGTGCACCCAAGACCTAGTTCTTAGCTCCCAGCTTTGGACTGGATTTCTGTCTCTCTCTCTCTCTGACAATCGTTCAAATAAAATGAAATCTTTTTATTATTGGAATTAATGTCACTCAAAGAACAGACAAGGTAACTTCAGATTGTTTCATTATTCTAGGATATGGGAAATCAGAAAAAATATTAGAAGACTAGTTTGTGTGTTTCTTCTGTTTCTATGAAAATGAAGTATGGCTTTTGGGAAGACTACATTGTGCTGTTAACGTTTCTATGTGCTGTTTGAAATAGCGAAGGAGGAAGCAGAAACATTAAAAAGTGATGATGCTAAGCATCTGTGAAATGTATTTCCACAATATGTAGTAACTACTCTTCAAACACTTCTCTGAAGAGGAATTGACATTAGGCTAGATTATATTTAGTTGGCCCAAAATCTCGAGTCACCAATTTTGACTTCTCCACCTAGAAACACCACCCATTGTCTTTTGGTGGAATGCAGCAAAATCACTTACACATAGTTCTCTGCCTTTAACGCACAGCTGCTGAATAGTGAGAGGTCCACCAATATTTTTCTTCATCATGAAAATTAGACATAAGGGCCTTCCTAAAGTGGTATCAGCTTCAAATAGAAAAATAAAATAATCTGCTTACTCAAGAGTAGCTACTGTGTTACATGGTGCTTCAATGCACGGTAAATATTCTTACACTTCAACTGACATATTTGAAAAAAAATTTTCTTAAATGTTAACTCCTTTAGCAGTAATCAAAGCTATCATTATTACTTAGGTTGTGGCAGTTAAACTAAGTACTAAAGCCAAGTATGTAAATGAATTTCTTTTTTTAAAAATTTTGAACAACAAGCCAATTCACTTTTTTAAGATTTGTGTTTTGTTTTGTTTTTATTGGAAAGGCGGATATACAGAGAGGAAGATCTTCCGTCCGATGATTCACTCCCCAGGTGGCCGTAACGGCTGGAGCTGAGCCAATCTGAAGTCAGGAGCCTCTTCCAGGTCTCCCACGCGGGTGCAGGGTCCCAAAGCTTTGGGCCGTCCTCGACTGCTTTCCTGGGCCACAGGCAGGGAGCTAGATGGGAAGCAGGGCTGCCGGGATTAGAACCGGGGCCCATATGGGATCCCGGGCGTGCAAGGGGAGGACCTTAACCACTGCGCCACCACGCCGGGCCCGCCAATTCACTTTTAAAAAGCTGATAGGTATGGGCCCATCGTGGTGGCGCAGTGGTTAAGGCTGTTGTATAGTCATTTGAGGAGTAAACCAGTAGATAGATTTCTCTCTGTGTCACTCCTCTCTATAAATCTGCCTTTCAAATAAAATGTCATTTAGAAAAAGCTTTATAACTTATCCTTATTAAACTACAGAAGTAAAGAAAAACCGTTATCTCTTGGAATTTTTTGCTCTATTCATATCAGCTCAGTCTTATGATGATTCAAGCCAATGATGTCTTATTTAACTGCTTAAAACTTGTTTTCATGCTTCTGTTATGGTACCGTAACCTCTGGCTATATGAATGGATAACTAAAAAAGAATTTCATTTATGAATACACAACACACAGATGAGAACAAATTGAAATTCTACTCTGCTGCTTTGATACATCTTGGAAGACTTACTTTTAAAAAGATAGTAAATCTTGGGCCCGGCGCGGTGGCGCAAGTGGTTAAGGTCCTCACCTTGCACGCCCGGGATCCCATATGGGCGCCGGTTCTAATCCCGGCAGCCCCGCTTCCCTTCCAGCTCCCTGCCTGTGGCCTGGGAAAGCAGCAGAGGACAGCCCAAAGCTTTGGGACCCTGCACCCGCGTGGGAGACCCGGAAGAGGCTCCTGGCTTCGGATCAGCATAGCATCGGCCGTTGCGCTCACTTGGGGAGTGAATCATCGGACGGAAGATCTTCCTCTCTGTCTCTCCTCTCTGTATATCTGCCTTTCCAATGAGAAAATAATAAAAATAAATCTTTAAAAAAAAAAAAAGATAGTAAATCTTTAAGTATTTATGTTAATATGGAATGTGAACACTAGCATTGAGGAGGACTTGATATGCTTTTATTGTATAATTTTTCTCTGTGGTCTAGAATTTCCTTTATCATTAAGTTTTAAAGATTTGGTTTCAGGGTAGGCATTTGGCACAGTGGTTAAGAAGCCCCTTGAAGCACCTTGGAGTGCTGGGATTCGAGCCCTGTCTGCTTCCGGTTCACGGGCTTCTGCTAATGTATACCTTGGAGGCAGCAGGTCGTGCTTCAAGTGTATTGGTTCCTGCCACTCAAATGGGAGAACCAGATTGAGCTCTAAGCTCCTGGCAATGGCCCGTCCCACCCCAGATGTTGTGAGTGAATCAGTAGGTAGACAATTTTTTGGTCTGTCTCTCTGCCTTGTAAATAAAGAAACGATAGTTTCTTCATACTGAATTATCTGCACATGTACACATGAATTCATTTGATACATCCAGATACAGGAAATTCTAGTCAGAAGGGTATTGCCAAGGGGCCCGGCACAGTGGCACAAGTGGTTAAGTCTTCGCCTTGCATGCCCAGGATCCCATATGGGCCCCGTTCTATCCCAGCAGCCCCGCTTCCCATCCAGCTCCCTGCCTGTGGCCTAGGAAAGCAGTCGAGGACGGCCCAAAGCTTTGGGACCCTGCACCCGCGTGGGAGACCTGGAAGAGGCTCCTGGCTTCGGATCGGCATAGCATCGACCGTTGCGCTCACTTGGGGAGTGAATCATCGGACGGAAGATCTTCCTCTCTGTCTCTCCTCTCTGTATATCCGCCCTTCCAATAAAAAATAATAAAAATAAATCTTTTTAAAAAAAGTTAATGGTAAATTATTGTTTTCTTGAAAATAGATTTCAAATTTCATTCTAAAGCTATCAAAATCTTTTAAAATAAAGTCTTAATCTAGTACCTCAAGGTATTCTGGGAACTCTTATCATTTATATAACAGTGACTTGTAAAGTTAATCAGTGAGAGAGCAATGGAGCTGAAAGATTTATTTGTTTTTATTGCAAAGACAGATTTACAGAGAGAAGAAGAGACAGAGGGAGATCTTCCATCCTCTGTTCACTCCCCAAATGGCTGCACTGGCCAAAGCTGTCAGTCCAAGCCAGGAGCTTCTTCTGGGTATCCCACTTGTGTGCCGGGTCCCAAGACTTTGGGCCATTCTCCACTGCTCTCCCAGGCCACAAGCAGAGAGATAGGAAGTGGATCAGCCAGAACACAAACTGGAGCCCATGTAGTATCCTGGTGGGAGATTAGACAGCTGATTCATTGTACCCACCCAAGAGCTATGGAGCTTAAATAGCTATTACTAACTGATCTTAATGCCAATACTATTAGTTTTTGTGTTTTGGTTGCCCAGTATCAATAAAATGCTAATTTTTAAAATAAACAATAGTTGCTCGTGTTATGGATACTGTTTACTAATGGCTTGCTTGGCAAACTTAGTGTTCTTTTCAGTTAAACAGAATTAGCTAGAGTTTTGTTTGTTTTTTTGTTTGTTTTTTTTTTAGTAGGTCTATGTAGAGTTCACGTCTTATTGTTCTCCAGGTTCTAACATACTGTATCAAGTTCTAGAAATGTAGCAACTGCTCAGTTAAATATTTTGTGGTATAAAAAAATGACTATAGCTAGTAGCTTCAGTGTTCTTTGTTGTGCTTAACTTTAACATGCACGCATTAGGGTGTGAATATTGTGTGTACTTGGATAAAATGTTTGTAGACCTTCTGAAGTACCTCATTAGCACTGGATTCAGCAAGACTTAGTTTAAAACCTAAGCCTTACAGAAATTTTACTATACTCTGTAATGATGGTGGGACATTGTGGCTGACATGACATTGCCATTTGCAGTCCTGCCATTCTATATCAGGGTACCAGTTCAAGTCCCAGCTACTCAGCCTCTTGCTAATGCATCCAGGAAAGCAGAAGAGAATGGCCTGATTATTTGAACACCTGTCACCCATATGGGAGATCCAGGTAGAGTTCCAGGCTGCTTGCTTCAGCCTGGTCCTCCCTAACTATTGTGACCATATGCGGAGTATATAAGAGGATGGAACATCTCCCCAGTCCCTCCTCCTCCAGCATTGTTCCTTCAAATAAACTTAAAAAAAAAAAAAGATAACATATTGTCAGCCTAGGTCTTTAAAATATGTCTCCTTGGGCCCGGTGTAGTGGCCTAGCGGCTAGTCCTTTCGGTGAACACACCGGGAACCCATATGGGCACCTGTTTTAATCCCAGCGCTCCACTTCCCATCCAGCTCCCTGCTTGTGGCCTGGGAAAGTAGTGGAGGACAGCCCAAAGCCTTGGGACCCTGCACCAGTGTGGGAGACCTGGAAGAGCTCCTGGCTCCTGACTTTGGATCAACTCAGCTCTGGTCACTGCAGTCACTTGGGAAGTGAATCATCAGACAGAGTATCTTCTTCTCTCTCTTCCTCTCTCTATATATCTGACTTTGCAATAAAAATAAATAAATATATGACTCCTTTATCATATCTCCCTATATTAAAAAGTAGATTATAGTGTAGCCGTTAAGGTCCTCGCCTTGAACGTGCCGGATCCCATATGGGCACTGGTTCTCGTCCCGGCGGCTTCACTTCCCATCCAGCTCCCTGCTTGTGGCCTGGGAAGGTAGTCGAGGATGACCCAAAGCTTTGGGACCCTGCACCCAAGTCGGAGACCTGGAGGAGGCTCCTGGCTTCAGATTGGCTCAGCTCCAACCGTTGTGGCCTCTTGGGAATCAACCATCGGACAGAAGATCTTCCTCTGTTTCTCCTCTCTGTATATCAGCCTTTCCAATAAAAATAAATGAATCTTTTTTTAAGTAGATTATTGAACCTAGAAGTATGTTTTCAGCTAACTTTTTAAAATTTAGTTGTCAATTGAAAACAGTGAAGTGTTTTTACGATTTTGTTTGTTTGTGTGAAACAGCAGAGAGGAAGTAACGAGGGAAGATCTTGTATACTCTGGTTCTCTTCCTAAATGGCCACAGCACCAAGGCTGAACTAGGCCAAGCCAGGAACCAGAACTCCATCCAGATCGCCTACCTAGCTGCAGAGGCCCAAGCACTCAAGTCATTTTCCACGCACACTAGCAGAGAGCTGGATCAGAAGCAGAAGAGATGTGTGTATGGGATGCCATCATCAAAGGCAGTGGCTTAACCCCTGCGTTACAGTACCTGAGACAAATATTTTTACCAGGCATCATTTCTATGGAAATAGTGATGTTTATGACCAAATTTCTCATCAAAGGTAAAATGTATTCTACCTGTATCGTTAAATGTTTCAAAGTTCAGAAGTCTGTCAAGGTTTTGGTACTTTGTTTTGTTTTACTGTTGATTTATGGTTGTATTTTCTGCTTGTAATGTTTTGATTATGTTTCCCATTTAGATCTGTGATTTTGGATTGGCCAGAGTTGAAGAATTGGATGAATCCCGTCATATGACTCAGGAAGTTGTTACTCAGTATTACCGGGCTCCGGAAATCCTGATGGGCAGCCGTCATTACAGCAATGCTATTGACATCTGGTCTGTCGGATGTATCTTTGCAGAACTACTAGGACGAAGAATATTGTTCCAGGCACAGAGTCCCATTCAGCAGGTATGATTTCATTTTAATTTAGTAATTTTTCATTCTGTTAAAGATTGGAAAGAAAAACCCATCTTACACAAATGTTTTGGGCGCGTTCAATGTACTGTCAGATTCACTTAAATCTGAAAAGCTGATGATTACAGAGGCTCGTTTTGTAACTTGCAAGCCATTAAAAGAAATGTTGACTATATGTGCAGCAAGCTCTGCATTAATAATTTGCACAGGTATAATCTTCAGTTGGCAGATGTCGTCTGTTCTAAGTGAATGTATTTGTCAACTTAATTTGCACTACAATTACAAAAAAAAAGCTGTAAAGATTTATTTATTTGAAAGGCAGAGCTATAGAGAAAGGAAGAAACAGAGATCTTTTATCTGCTGGTTCACTCCCCAAATGGCCACAACAACCAAGGCTGCTCCCAGCGAAATCCATGAACTAGGAGCTTCTTCCGAGGCATTTCCACTTTTTAGGGTGCAGCAAAAGGGAGATGGATCTGAAGTAGAGTATCTGGGACATGAACCATACTCCTGTGGGATGCTGGCATCGCAAGTGACAGCTGTACTGACTAAACCACAATTCCAGTCGGTTCTCAGATGTAAAATTGTTAATGCTGAGTTCCACAAATCTGAACATTGATTAAAATTTTCGAATTTTTTTCTGGGCTAAATTATTATAGCATAAAACATCAGGAGATAATTAAAATGTTGTTTAGGGCCCGGCACAGTGGCCACTAGGCTGAAGTCCTTGCCTTGAACATGCCACATCCCATATGGGTGCCAGTTCTAATCCTGGCTGCTCCACTTCCCATCCAGCTCCCCGTTTGTAGCATAGAAAGGCAGTGGAGGACAGCCGAAAGCCTTTGGACCCTGCACCCGTGTGGGAGACCTGGAAGAAGTTCCTGGCTCCTGGCTTTGGACTGGAGCAATACCGGCCATTGTGATCACTTGGGGAGTGAATCATCGGATGGAAGATCTTCCTCTCTGTCTCTCCTCTATATATGTCTGGCTTTCCAATAAAAGTAAAATAAATCTTTAAAATATAACAATAATAATAATAAACAAAATGTTGCTTTAAGGAACCCCGTTACTTTGTTTTTATGTCTATTTCATCTTTACACACATTTTCATGAGATAGTTCCTGAGTGTTTTTTATTTATAGATTTTTATTAATATTGTTTGCATGGAAATAATTTAACAGCTGTCAGCTCAGACTGTGGAATTATACTATTCAAAATTACCTCCCCAAGACGAAAAAGAAAAAAAGAGAAAGAGAGAAAAGAAGAAAAAAGTCTGTTTCCTTATTTTTTCCTATTTGTTAAATCTTTGGTATGTTGCTTAACCTCTCTGAAGTAGTAAAGCTGAAACTAAGGCCTTCCATCTGGTTAGCCACTCAGTAATCATTATCAGTTACATGCTGTGCCAAGATGCTAGAATGCTACAGTAAATAATTAAACCCAAGTTATCCTTGCATTTGTAAAAGTTTCACATGAAACTGAAGAAAGTATGCAAATAAATTTAATCCCAATTAATTGCATTTCATGGAGAAAATGAAAACAGTTTAGGAATAAAAAAGGATGGGAAGATGGGGTGACCCTAAAGGATTATGTGAGGGAGCAACATGCTAGTGAGGAATATTCCAATAAGAGGGACAGCACAAGGAACATTGAAAGCCCTGAGGCATGAATAGCGTGGCCTGAAGGGTGGCAAGAGCCTGTTGGAGAAGATGGTGTCATGAGAGGAAGAGCCTGGCCATGGTGCCTGAGGAGGACTTTGTGCTTTTTGGTAGGTATGATAAAAAGGCTTTGTTTTGAGCAAGGGTGTGTTAAGATTTGACTGATAGGGCGCAGCGGAATGGCTGTTGGTTGATCCTCCCCTTGCAAGAGCCAGGATCCTATATGGGTGCCAGTTCCAATATGGGCTGTTCCACTTCTCATCCAACTCCTTGCTTGTGGCCTAGGAAAGCAATCGAGGACCTTGTTTCCACTTGGAAGACCCAAAAGAAGCTCCTGGCTCCTCACTTCTAACAAACTCAGCTCTAGCTGTTGCAGCCACTTGAGTGAACTAGCAGTTGGATTATCTTTGTCTTTCTTCTCTGTAAATCTGCCTTTCTAACTAAATATATATATCCTAAAACAAAACAAACAAACAAACCTTAGCAATCCTACCCATAAGACCATCATGTCTATAATATAATTACCTGTAAGACAATTATCACATCATGGAGAAGCAAATAAAGATTGACCCTGGAAAACTGGAATTCCAAGGATGCTGATTTGTATCCCAGATGTTCCACTTCTGTCTAGCCCCTGCTAGTTGCCTGAGAAAAGCAGCAGAAGACAGCCCAAGTGTTTGGGCCCTGCACCCAAGTGTGAGACCTTGCCTTCAACCTTGGCCCAGTGCTAGTTGTCATAGGCATTCCAGTACTTGGAAGGTGTCTCACTCTTGTGCTCACTGTCATCCTGACTTACAAATAAATAAAAACTTAAAAAAGAGTTAATGTCCAGGGGTCAGCATGTGGTGCTGTAGTTAAGCTGCTGTCCACAACACTGACATCCTATTTGAGAAGCAATTTGAATCCACTTCTGATGCTACTCCCTACCAGTATGGTTAGGAATGCAATAGAACATGGCACAAGTGCTTTGAGCACTCCGTGACCCAAGACACAGATGAAATTCCAGGCTTCTAATTCACCCTGGCCCAACTCTAGCCATTGCAACCGCTTGGGAAGCAAACCAGTAGATAGAAGACATCTCTCTCTCTGTGCAACTCTGCCATTCAGAAAAATATTTTTTTAAAAGGAAACTATCAAATTTTATTGTGACTATTGCTTTGCATACAGAAAAGCCTAAATAATTAAAAAATAAGAAGTATTAAAATTGTGCATAGTAAACAAGGATTTTGGATTGCTATTGAAAAGAATATATATTAGAAAGTGCAGCAACTGGGCCCAGCGGCATGGCCTAGCAGCTAAAGTCCTCGCCTTGAACTACCAGTATCCCATATGGGCGCCAGCTCTATTCCGTGCAGCCCCACTTCCCATCCAGCTCCCTGTGTGTGGCCTGCGAAAGCAGTTGAGGATGGCCCAAATCCTTAGGACCCTGCACTCGTGTGGGAGACCTGGAGGAAGTTCTTGGCTCCTGGTTTTGGATTCGCGCAATACTGGCCATTGTGGTCACTTGGGGAGTGAATCATCGAATGGAAGATATTTCTCTCTGTCTCTCCTCCTCTCTGTGTATATCTGATTTTACAATAAAAAAATAAATATATCTTTAAGAAAGAGAGCAAGAGAGAAATAAAAAAGAAAGAAACAGAGAAGGAAAGAAAGCAGCAACTGCAGTGGGATTCAGATACTTCATTTGCAGAGAAATGGATTGATATTGAGCTTACCAGTCCTACATATCCACTGAGGAAGAGCTCTTGTATATTTTCAGTATATTTGGGGATGAAAATAAAGATCTTAAATAGGAACAGGATTTAATTTGGAAATAATTGCTTATTTTTAATTGCATTCTCTTTAAGAAGTGAATGTACTAGGTATTTATAAAATGATGTCTTGTCTGTGGGTTTGACACCTTGTAGACTTTATAAAAGTTGCTGTGAGGTAGACATTTGCTTATGCTTTTAGAGTCTGCTAAGTATCACCTACAATAGTACATTTATATCAAGATATCCTTTTCCCAAAAGGCAGTGTATAGATTTTTACTTTTGTAGAAAGAAGCCTGTTAAGTTTCATTATCTAGAAAAGTATCATAGTTCTTGTAAAAGCAAAAAATATAGTTTCCACTTCAGAATTTCCCATCCTGAATGGTTTAAGTGAAGTATCAGTGCTAATTAGGTTTGTGATATTAGAACAATTGTGGTACTACTGAAAGATGATGGGCGTTTGCTACCTACAAAGATTTGTTTATGTGAAGAGCACTAGCCTCTCTTTTCTGCCCACTGGGCTTACCCAGTGTCATTGTTATCTAAATACCACACTTTTCTGCCATAGTAATAGGTTTCCACCATGGTTAGAATGTAAAGGATATGTCTTAGCCCAAACATTAAAAGTTTAGCTTTAAAATAAAAAAAAAATTAATAAACAAAAAAAGAAGGAAAACACACCAAAAAAAAGTTTAGCTTTAATTTGAACTGTGAATATTTTTGAGTATTTGTTAAACAGGACTGATTTGTGGATTGGCTTGTTAATGGACGTGAATTCATTGGAAGCATCAGAATCCATTGACTAGTCAAAAGGAACAATTATGAACCATCAACAGAAGAGCAGTTCTACGTTGCAGAACATAGGTGCTATAGCATCTAGACTAACAGGCAAGAAGTATAGGCTCCTAAATTGTTTTACCCTGAGAAGCCTGTTTGCCATACATTTGAGGGTTTTTTGTTGTTAGTAGGCAAAAAAGAGAAACTAGGGACTCCTATCATTTTATGTGGGGCTTACTTTAATGTTTTAGCTATACGTGATCCTCATTTCTAAGGCTGTGATTTATAAGTAATATAAAGTTGTTTCCATGAGCTTACTATCCATCTGTATCTCATGTTTCCTTATAGTTGGATTTGATCACAGATCTGTTGGGCACACCATCACTGGAAGCAATGAGGACGGCTTGTGAAGGCGCTAAGGCACACATACTCAGGGGTCCTCATAAGCAGGTAAAACAGGAGGGATCCGTATCTAATTAACACCTGTCTGGGTAAAATTTCCCTTCCAATAGAAAAATGTGTTGAGTTCATTTAATTTCTTTATTTGAAAAAATATTACTTACAGGATTTATTGTTTTTTGTTTGTTTGTTTTTTAATCATAGCCTTATATAAGAATATTGAGTATTTTTAAAACAAATTAGATATGGGACCAGTGTGATGATTCGATTAGCTGATCCTCTACTTGCAAGCACCCATATCCAATATAGGCACTGGTTCACGTCCCTACTGCTCCACTTCCTGTCCAGCTCCCTACTTGTGGCCTAGGAAAGCAGTCAAGGATGGCCCAAAGCCTAGGGACCCTGCACCCATGTGGGAGACCCAGAAGAGGCTCCTGGCTGTTGATCAGCTCAACTCCAGCTGTTGCAACCACTTGGAGAGTAAATCAGGGATGGAAGATCTTTCTTTCTGCAGCAACATAAGATATGATCATTCCTATATCTTTGCATAACTTTGTAGCACCTTTGCTAATTAATGAGCCCCGATTTTGTGTCTCTTGATTTTTTGGTAAGTGTGGATCCTGGAGATAGAGCTTTGACCTCCATACCATAGCCTAATCCATTTATGTTGAGACGTTCTTTCCAAATACTGAGCCAGAGTATTTTATGCTGTTTATTTCTGTGAGGAGGGAAATGTTTGCTGTTATACTCTTGGCATAAACACAAAATCAGGTGTGAATGTTGTTAGAAAAGAAGTGTGAGGAGAGACTGCCAGATAAGCACTGATCATTATTACTTGACTTGGCTATGTCACTGCTGAGGATCCTTTTCATCTCAACCCTGTTACTTAGCAGAATTTTTCACACACATTTTCCTAATTTCTTTTGGATTAAAAGCTTAATGATATGAGGAATGAGAAAGAAGAAACTTTTTCTTTGCAAAAACAAACGGAAATGGAACAGTTAAGACTTGGACAGGATGAACTAGCAACTAACTTTCCTGGGTTTTGTCCTTTTCCTCCTCCCTCCCACCCCCATTTGAGAGGCAGAGACCAGCAAGAGCAGAGAAGCAAGTGAGCAAGAGTGCCCTTCTACTGGTTCACTCCCTAAATGCCCTTCAACACCTGGGCTGCGCTAGAGCTGTGAGATGGGAGCTCAGGCCAGGTCTGTCATGGTGTGTGGTTGGCAGGGATAACCTAAGTTATCTCTGCTGCCTCCTAGGTTACGCACCAGCGAGAAGCTGGAGTCTGGTGCCAGAGCTGAATAGCTGACCCAGGGAACTCCAGTGTGGGATTCAGGCATGGTAACAGCTAGACTATATACTAACTCCTGTGGCTTCTTTTGAGTTGGAGCTTGAAAAAAATCCAGTTAATGGTAGAGTTTAACATTTTTCTTGAATCACTAGCCAGATATTTGATCAAGCCCTAGCTTCCCACTTTGTAGTTCATGCTGTATAATTCTTGTACTCCAGAGTGTAGTCACAGATGTAAATGACAATAATAAAAAGTGTATTTTGTTCTAAAAACAGCTAGAAATGTATGTCTGTATTTTAAATAATGCCCTGATGGTCGTATTTTTTTTTTATTGTATCTAATTGAGAATCATCTGAGGCCCTTATGCCCTTAGAAGAACACTGTAAGTCTTGACCTTCAAGATTTACATTGTAGAAGGAACTAACAATCTGTTATGTTCTGCTTATTGGCCAGTGTCAGGAACATCCTCTAATTTATCAGTGCCTCATGATAAATGTGTCCTTAGAAGCAAAAAAGTTTTCCTCTTCTACTGACCTTATTAGATTAGTGAAATTTAATCTTACCTGACTAAAGATAGCCAATAATGAAAAGTGATAAAGGCCAGATATCTTGGTACCACACTTCCATCTCCAGAGGAATCCCAGCTGTTATTACTAATGGTTGCCAGCTAATTAATCATCTGTGGAAAATGTTGCTATACAGCAACTGAAAGAACAAGTCTTCATGAAGAGTTTCCTACCTGCTGTCTAGAACAGCTCAAAAATGTAATTTGCTGCACCATAAGTCAGTGTGCAGTCCTTGAAGCAAGTGAATTCTTTTACTTGACCCGATGCACATATGGGATGCCAGTAAGGCATGCAGTGTCTTGAGCCACCACACCACAACACCATAAGGCTCTTTATAAAAGTCTTACACGGACTAAAAGTGATCAGCTACCACCCCCAAGCCAAGCCTCCTGTGGATTAATTTGAGACTGTCTTTCCAGACATGTTTCTGTTCACTTATCTTACACATACCTGTAAAAACAGATGTGTATGCTATTGTTTGGGTCTTTTTTATAAAGTAAAGATAGAAGGAAAATCTAATTAAAGTCTGATTGCTGCCTCATTCATTTCCTTCTTTGTTAATATATATAGTTGTGCATAGTATATTTGTCAAGGTTTTAAAACTAAAGCTCAGTTCTCACTGGTATAAGCAAAACAGACTTCTGGGGTCAGGTAGCTGAATAACCTTGAGCTCTAGCAGATTTGAAACCCTGTTGGAATTCATCTTTTCATATGGTTTTCTAGACTAAGAATTAAACTCCTGTCCTCTTCTGGGTCCCTATAGTTGGCTTCATTTTTGGACAGACTTTCTTCATTTGTTTGCAACATGAAACCACCAGGGGCTTGCATTATGGCTTGGGTGGTAAAGCTACTGCCTTGATGCAGCATTCTATTTGTGCCCTAGTTTGTATTCAAACTGTTCCCCCTCTTTTTTTTTTTTTTTTTAAGATTTATTTACTTTGGTCCCAGTGCCAAGGCTAGTAGCTAAAGTCCTTGCCTTGCATGTTTTGGGATCCCACATGGATGCCGGTTCGTTTCCTGGCTGCACCGTCTCCCTTCTAGCTCCCTGCTTGTGGCAGGGAAGCTCCTTCTTCTCTGTCCTTCTCTGTGTAAATCTGACTTTCCAACAAAAAATAAATGAATATTTTTTAAATGATTTATTTACTTATTTTTATTGGAAAGGTAGATTTACAGAGAGAAGAAGAGACCTAGATCTTCTACTTCCCAAACGTCTGCAATGGCTGGAACTTCTTGTGCAGGATCCCAAAGCATTCGTCCATCCTCTGCTGCTTTCACAGGTCACAAGCAAGGAGTTAAATGGGAAATGGAGAAGTGAGGACACAAACCAGCACCCATATTGGATCCTGGTGCTTGCAGAGGGATAATTAGCCAATTGAGCCATCATGTAAGCCTCTGCTGCACCTCTGATTCAGCTCTCTGCTGATGGGCAGAGAAAAGCAGTAGAAGATGGCCCAAGTGTTTGGGTCACTGCCATCCACATGGGAGACTGATGAAATTCCCAGCTTCCAAGTATCTCTAGGAAAAAAAAATGGAAGGTTGGAAGGTTTCTGAAATAGATAGGCATTTACTTGATTCAAATCCTGTTTACTCTGCATTCCTTTCAGCTTCTTGCTGTTGCACCAGGAAAGGCAGTACAGGATGGTATAAGTGTGGGGGCCTTTGATGCTACTTGTATGTGGGAGACTCTGATGGAGTTCCTAGCTCCTAGCCTCAGCCTGGCTGAACAGCAGCTGCATGCCCGTTTGTGAGGTGAAATATTGCAGGAAATATCTACACTTTCGATCTCTGCCTCTATGTTATTCTGCTTTTTAAGTAAGTAAATTTTAAAAAGAGGAAAAAGAATAAAAGAGGCCAGAAGTTTCAAGGTGGTTTGGAACTGGTGTAGCAGCTCACTTGCTGCAGGAATCCACTCTTTTTCTTTCAGCCATGCCATCATTGGAATGTTGACTTCCTATTCTAGCTTATCACTTCATGATTCCAGTATAACTGTAGCTTGTTTAGAAGTCACATCCTTCTTCAAAGCAAGAAAATGAGGGCAACAGGGAGCTCTGGCGTTATCTGCCCTTTTTATCAGGTAGGCAACAGCTTTTGCAGAAGCCTGCCTAGCAAATGTCTGCTTCTGTACCAGCATCCAAAACTGTCCTATGTGGCCTCTCAGCTGTAAGTCAGGCTAAAAAACATGAATATTTAGCTTTTCTCTCCTTTACCCGTTATGTCCCATCATTCTGTATATAGGACACCTATACAGATGTAAGCTGAACAGTAAATATACCACTTAGGCTTTGGAATGAATAATATGTTGAAATATTTGCAGAATTGGAAACTTGGGTCTTAATGGGTTAAAAAGTCAGAAAAGAGTTGAAATTATTTGTTGGGCCAGCCATTCTATGATGTGCCCCTTGACTTTTTCGACTGTGTACCTGTCTATCCGGGAGCCAGTCATGATATTCAGGAGAATAATATCATTTGAGTGGGCAGGCTTGGGTCAGATACCCATCCTTGGCACTGGGAGATTAAATCCAAAACTAACCAAACAACTTGGTTTCAGAGTAAAAAAGGAATGATCCCTAAAGGTTAGGAAATTCTGATCAGACAAAAACACTGTATATATTATATTGTCTGGTTTTACAGCTCTAAATCCTGGATGAAGGGAAGCTTAGATGCCAAGTATCCGTGAATAGCATTGAAAATTTGTTTTCAGTCCTTTTGTTCATTCTTACAAGGTTTAGATCCCATTCAGTTACAGTTGGTCCTAGCTAATTGTATCAGAAAAATTCAGAATATTTCCACCAAAGTACAAAAAATATTGTCTGCTGTCAGGGACCATTTGTTTATAGAGTAGGTAGGTGTTTTTGTGTCACCTCACAGTGCTGACACTAGGGCACTGTGCATTGTGCATGCTCAGTGTTACTCTTTATCACAACTTTGCTGTCAGCTCTGTACATCTAAAGGTTACATGTAGCTAGGTGGAAAGGTAACAGGAATGCCTGCCCAGGACACTTGCACAGCCCATGGACTGAACTGGGCAATCATCACACTGTCATTAGCCACTAATGGCTGTAGCATATCATTTAGGGCCTCTCACCCAAGTCCATGGCTTACCCTGCTTCATTTCACTGACAAGTAATCACAGTCATTAACAGCATACACTCTTATAAGCTCTCCTGTCCGCATGACTCAGCACCAGCACCCACTCACTCCCACATTGCTTAGTGACTTACAAACATGCAGCACAAACAGAAAGTGAACAGTGTAATTTCAAGAGGGAAAATTAACATGTGTGGCTGTTGAGAAAATTGTCAAAACTTACTTGCAAATGAAATATTTAGGCTAATTTCTAGTCTTTTTTCCCACATTCAAACTGATCTTGTAATACTCAAAAAATAGAAATTTCTTGCCTGTTGTTGATAATCCTGGGCCCAACTGATTTTAACTGTAATAACTGGTGAGTTCAAGGAAGAAAGGGCAACTAGAAATGCAGCAGCTGTAGCACACTTCTTTCCTGTGGAGCCAGTTTAAGGAACTAAATTATTAATGATTGTCTTTCTGAAGAAGTATTGGCATGAATGAACTGACTCACTCTCTCTCTGCCTCTTTTTAGCACAAAGAAAAATAAAGCATAAATTATGGCTGAAATTACACTTAACCCTATCTTTGTATCTGTTGGTCTGTACTTCTGTGAAGATATAATCTTCAGGGGAGGAGGCCCACTTAAAATTTAAGTATCCTTAACATCCTAAACATTTGATCTTCTCAAGCCCCCTGTCCCACACCCAGTCATGTTCAAGCCTTATAAATGGCACTTTACAATTTGTTCTCTACCCTCCAGTGACATCTGGAAAACTTTGTTTGCCTGTCTATTTTCCCCCCAGAGAGGCATTATTCATCTTTGTTGCCCAGCCAAGGGCATAGCATTTGATGGATGTTAATAATTGGTAGATAAGGATATCTGTATTTATTGGTACAGTCTCACAGATGAGAAGTCAAGCATTAAGTCATAGTTCCAAGGCTCGTAATGGCAGTTAAGAATCTGAATACCTGCCCTGTAGTACTCACTCCAGTATTCCATTTCCTAAGCTATTACATGCCTCCACCACAAAAAAAGAAGAGTAGATTCACGTTGAGAATGGAAAAGAAAGAATTGCTTGCAATGAGGTATTTTTATCAATTCAATAAGCATTGTCTAGAATTCAGCTGCAGACCTTCACAAGCCATGAAAAAAAAAAAGGAAAAGACAGCGACTTCCTTCCATAGTCAAACCAGAAATCTTTTCAAGAATCTCATTATTCACTTTACAAACTAAGAAAGCTTTGCAGAAAACAGATGTAAATTAAGCTGTACCTTAACGCTTCTACCCTATTATTCTTCCCAGTCCTCTTATCTTCACACAGATAATTTCAGAGCTGCTATAGCCAGCTGTATTATTAAACAAGCAATGCTGTTCTGTCTACCTGCCCATGGAATAGTATGTTGATCTGCAAATTTAAGAGATTACTAGTCTGACTTCATCATTTTATACTAGGATTAGAACCCATCTAATCGTGTGTTAATTCTATCCCTAAGAAAACTTCGGTATGATCAATTCCTCCTAATGACTCCAAGGTGCCCTCTTGTTCTTGTTGGATTCTCCTTTGTGCTTTTTCTGAAGAGGAGGTTTGTGTCATAAATGTGTGTTGATTGCTTGATACTAGTACTTCTCATAGCAGGGCTCTGAGGCAGTGATCAGGCAGTACCAGCTGCTGTGTCTGATTTAGCATCCTTGTAATGTACCCAGGAAAGCAGCAAATTATAGCCCAAATTCTTGGTTCCTGCTACCTATGTGGGAGACCCATAAAGAATTCTTTATGAAGGGGCCTCCAGTGCCCAAATGACAGGAGCTTTCTGTTAGGTTTTGAATCTTCATCTATCAACAATCCAGAAATACAAAACTGAATCCCCACCAAAAGTACAAGGGCACTTCAGAAAGTTTGTAGAAAGAGAAGAGAAAGAAGGTTGTCTCCCAACCGCTAGTTCACTCCTGCAAATGCCTACAACAACCAGGATTAGACCAGGCCAAAGCCAAGAACCACAACACAAACAACATATATCACAGAAAACACACAAAAGAATTCTTAATGGGTCTCCCACATGGGTAGCAGGAACTCAAGAAGTTTGGGCTATAATTTGCTGCTTTCCCAGGCACATTAGAAGGATGCTAAATCAGAAGCAGCACTGGTACTCAAACCGGGCACTTTTTCTGTAAGTGGCAGGCACATTCATACGGCCATGTGTGACCCCTCTGCTCTGAGGAAGGGAGATGCCTTGGATGATCCAATAAGCCATAGAATTTATTAAGTTTCCATGTTACTACTGGAAGTGTCAGAGAGGGAAGGTGAATGGCATCATTGCTACCTCTCTCATCAAGTAAATCCTTCAACCTAAGCAAGGAAGAATTAAGGAAGATGACACACTGCATTTCTTCTTGTGGTTTGATATAACCTTTGGGGGTGGGTGTCTGGCCTAGTGGTTAGGCTGGGGATGGGAATCCCATATCCCCAATCAGGAGTGCATAGGCTGGAGTCTTGACTTTGTTCCCAACTCCACTCCTCTAAATGCACATCCTGGGAGGCAGCAGGCTGTGGGTCAAGCACCTGATAACCTCTTCCCCACAAGGGGGGATTGGATCGAGTTTCTTGTTGCTGGCTTAAGGTTGGCCCAGCTCTAGCTGGTTTAGGCATCTGGAAAATAAACAAATGGATGGGGTTCTCTTTTTCAATAAAAATAAACATCAAAAATAAGATAATCTTTGACAGAATTTAACTGCTAGGCACAAAAATTCTAAATGTAGCCAAATTATCACTTGCATAATATTTCTTACATTTTACTAAAGAAACTAGCCTTAAGGTAAATTATTTTCTTCATGTTTTAAAGACTTCTTTGTTTTTATTGAAAAGGCAGGTTTACAGAAAGAAATGGCAGAAAGATCTTCTATCTACTGGTTCACTCCTCAAATGGCTACATCAGTCAGTGTTGAGTCAATTTGAAGCCAGGAGCCAGGAGCTTCTTCTGGGTCTCTCCTGAGGGCACAAGGTCCAAAGAACTTGGGCTATCTTTAATGGTTTCTCAGGCCACAAGCATGGAGTTGGGTCAGAAGTGTAGCAGCTGGGATACAAACCAGTATCCATAAGGGATGCTGGTGCTCTTAAGTGGAGGATTAGCCAGTTGAGCCACTGCACTGGCCCCAAGGTAAATGATTTTCCTAAAGGTTTTCTAAACTGGCTTCCATGTATAACCACTGAGATAGCTGTGTTTTATCGACCTTTTACCTACAGTGAGTGACACGTACTAAAAATGTGCTCCTGGAAGTCGGTGACAGTTGTCGCCTTTGAAGACTGGTTAATGACAGTCTTTGTATTTAAACTCACATATCTGTGTAGTCCTTTGAGCTTACCTTGTGTCCTTCCATAAAGACTCAATCAAATGCCTAAATTTTTTTATTTGTTCACAGCCATCTCTTCCTGTACTCTATACCCTGTCTAGCCAGGCTACACATGAAGCTGTTCATCTCCTTTGCAGGATGTTGGTCTTTGATCCAGTAAGTAGTATTTGTTCATATATTTTGTCAATGAACTTAAAATATAAGTGTGTTTTTAAATCCTGGTTTTGAATAGATTGGCAATGCAGATACCACCTTTTCAGACAATGAACTTTTCAGCACCCCAATCAACCCCCAGATTTATGTTTATCCAGCTCATTCATGACATAAAAATTAACACAAAAGAGTCTAGGGGCAGAGTGAAAGGAACTGAACCATTCTCATTTATATCTCTGTTTCTGAAAGGAGTTTGATGCAAAGTTAAACAGAAAAAAAAAAGTTAAGATTATTTGAAACAAAAAAAAATTACCCTTTCTATTGCATAAGAAAATGTTTACTCTCAGTTGTTGAAATGGTGACTTTTCCAAATGCCCTTTTTGGACATGACCCTTAAACTTCATTTATTCATTAATCCAAGGACATGTATTATTCACATCTGTGCCAATAACTGTTTTCAAAGAGGACTCAAAAACAGAAGCTTTTAGACATTGAGCTCCCAGATCTCAGCGTCCTGACCTGTTGTTGGCATTTGGGGACTGAACCAGGAAGTGGAACTTTTCTTTCTGTAGGTGTGTGTTTCTGCCTAAGAATGATCCAAAAAATGGAAGTTAGTTTTTAGGGTTTTTCTTTTTTTGCTTGTTTGTTTTTTTGTTTTTTGTTTTTGTTTTTTAGGATTTATTTCCATTGGGAAGGCAGGTTTTATAGAGAGAAGACACAGAGAGAAAAATCTTCCCCAAGATTTCACTCCCCAAGTCGCTGCAACGGCCAGAGCTGAGCTGATCTGAAGTCAGGAGCGAGGAGCTTCTTCCTGGTCTTCCACGTGGGTGCAGGCTCCCAAGGCTTTGGGCCATTCTCCGCCGTTTTCCCAGGCTGTAAGCAGGGAGCTGGATGGGAAGTAGAGCTGGGATACAAACTGACACCCGTATGGGATCCCAGTGCTTGCAAGGTGAGGATTTAGGTACTGAGCCATCACACTGGGCCCATAAAAGTATTCTTGACAAGAATATAAGCAAGCCAACAAATACAAAATACAAATGATGTTTAAAGGATTCAAAAACCACAAAAGTACAACAGTTAAATTTATATTGTTCCAGGGCCCGAAGCCGTGGCCTAGCGGCTTAAGTCCTTGCCTTGAATGCACCAGGATCCCATATGGGCACCAGTTCTAATCCCAGCAGCCCTGCTTCTCATCCAGCTCCCTGCTTGTGGCCTGGGAAAGCAGTAGAGGACGGCCCAAAGGCTTGGGACCCTGCACCCACATGCGAGACCTGGAAGAGGATCTGGGATCCTGGCTTTGGATTGACGCAGCACTAGCCGTTACAGTCACTTGGGAGTGAATCATTGGACAGAAGATATTTCTCTCTGTCTCTCCTCCTCTCTGTATATATCTGACTTTGTAATAAAAATAAATAAATCTTTAAAAAAATTTATATGGTTCCATTTGTGTTGAAAGGGGGCATCTTTATTTTTAAGATATATTTATTCAGAAGTCAAAGTTAAAGAGATATTTTTTTATCACTGGTTTATTCCCCAAATGAATACACCAGTCAAGTTTTGCCCAAGCCACAGCCAGGAGGTAGGAGCTTCTGGTGGGTCTCCCATGTGGGAAACAAGGAACCAAGCACCTGGACCATCTTGTGCCGCCTTCCCAGGCTCACTAGCAGGGAGCTGGGTCAGACGTAGAACAGCTGGGACTTGAACTGGCACCTATACAGAATGCTGGCATTACAGATGATGGCCCTACTTGATATGCCACAACAGCAGACCTCATAAAAGCCAACTTTTTGAATGCCACATCCATAATTTTCAAAACTATGTAATGATATCAACATAATAATGATTAGGGATAATGTGTTCTTTGAGGGAGTTCAACTAGTTTAACTTTTGAGAAATAACTTAAGGTTTTAGTATTTGGGGTCCCTGAACTGGTCTGAGTTACTGAGTTATTTTTGTGATATTTCAAGGTACAGAACAGGTTTTTAAAACGCTGACCCTTTTTTTGAGTTTTTACTTATGGTATATGAAGGTAAGACACAGCAGCAGTTCTTGCTTTCACAGTGATAAAGTTTCTGCCATTCAGCACAAGTGTAGTGACATATAATCATATAACTTGTGATTCTGTATCACTGGTTTCATATTTTAGGTTTTTGGGGCTTTTCATAAGTTTATCTAAATAATTCATAGAAGATGTTTATATGTAAAGAATCTGCTTTTGTATGGTTAACAAAACTAGAGTCACGTCAGAGGTGATTTCTCTCTGCCCATGGAGGATTTTATAAAGGTTCCAGGATTTATTTATTGGAGCTGGAATTTTGAGTTAGCTGGAAAAGTCCATTGCTTGTGGTACTGACATCCTATATAAATGCTGGTTCATGTCTCAGCTACTCCACTTTTTTTTTTTTTAAGATATATTTTATTGATACAGCTCCCTGCTAATGGCTTGGGAAAGCAATGAAAGATGGCCCTTGAGCCCGGCATGGTAGCCTAGTGGCTAAAGTCCTCGCCTTGAATGTGTCAGGATTTCATATGGGCGCTGGATCTAATCCCGGTGGCCCCGCTTCCCATCCAGCTCCCTGCTTGTGGCCTGGGAAAATAGTCGAGGACAGTCCAAAACCTTGGGACCCTGCACCTGTGTGGGAAACCTAGAAGAGGCTCCTGGCTCCTGGCTTCGGATCAGCACAGCTCCAGCCGTTGTGGCCACTTGGAAGTGAATCAACAGATGGAAGATCTTCCTTTCAGTTTCTTTTCCTCTCTGTATATCTGACTTTCCAATAAAATAAAATAAATCTTTGAAAAGAAAAATAAAGATATATAATATGCGATTAAATACCATTAGGTTTTTCAGAACACTATTATGAACCATCTGAGTAACTTTGTGAATTCCTTCTCAGTTTAACAGGTTAGTTCCTTCCTTTTATTATTCTTATATCTCATAAAATAAGTGTCCTCTCTTAAGCCTTGAAAAGGTCTAAAGAGGTACTATTTTTTTTTTTTAAGATAATTGTAAGTTGATCATTGCAAAGCAGGGATTTATTTTTTTGTTGAAAAGTTTCTCTTTGGTAGGAACCCATGTTGGTACATGTAGAACACAGAGCATTGCTATCCATTGTCTAGGAAAACAATAAAAACTTTCCAGCCCTATAATCTTACATTTCAGGAAAGATCAATCTTCAGACAAAAGTGGCTAAGACAGGAATCGGACTCCAGCTGCTGTGCCAACTGACTGGCACTCAGGGTCTGACATCTGCTACCTTGTAGAAATGATTTGATGGTCAGATGATAAAAACCAGAGTTGATCACCATTGCTACAAGCGTGAACACCTGGCAGTTGGCCAAGGACCAGATTTAACAGAGGAATGTTAAAGAGCTCAATCCGTAGGTACCACCAGCGAAGCCCAAGGAGAAAGGGGAGCTGAAAACCCAAGGAGCTCAGATCAAGTCTGCTGCTCTGTTAACCTCCTTGTTTCTTTGGGTTCAAGTGAAAGAACTTCAAACTAGTAATCTTCTATTTCTCTGGAAAGACATGGACTTTTTAAAATAGGAAAAATTAGCTCACAAGGAGTGCAGAGGAATCAGACTTAGAAGAGCTGAATCACCAAACACATCCCTCAGCTCCTAACACATTGCTGGTAGTAAAGGAAAAATATCAAAGCTCCCCAGTTTACCTGGTGCATATCCAACTGCTTTCTTTTAAAGGTCATGAGGTCAGCATCACAGAAATGCAGAGATTACCTGACTTTAAACATTTTTAGAGAATGCAAGTTTATGAGAAATATTTAGTGTTTTTTATTATTTAGGGGCCAGAACTAGTCAAAATGTCTCAGTTGCTTTCTGGATAATTTTAATACAGAATAGTTTTCTTTTTAGAATTTTGTTGTCAACTGTTTCATCATTTCAGAAGAAAGGAAATTGTCAGTCTTTGTTCTATTGAATCTTAAATCTGTTAAAATTTACTTTCTCTTAGAATATGTCCACTGAGTACTGGAGAAAAATGGTTTTTTAAACCACTTTTTCAATGGAGTAATGAGCTTTAAAAATAAAAGCTTTTAAGCTTGGAGCTAGGCTAATAAGTTGTGATCCGAAGTACCAGGAGCCATGGAGTGGGTGGGCCAGGCTCCTGGTGTTTGGACAGGGCTGTGTCTCAACTTGGGAATCAGACCATTGTCCACTGTCCAGTTCCAGCAGCTTCTGTGTGTGCTCTTGCCCTAGTCTGCTTAATATTCTAAGAGAATTAAAGTTTCCCGCCACTTTGCAAAATTGCTGCCTGGGTCACATCTGTTCCAAATGCTGACACATATTTGGAAAATATAGTCTGTTATTTAAAATGTAAATGTATCCACTTCAGAACATTACATAATGGAATTATGACGTTTATAATCTTTGACCTTGCATTTGTCTGTTTCAAGGTAGGAACTCAGAATTTTAGCAGAATACACTTGTGGGAACCTTGTAGTGGTACATGCCAACAGTAGGTTGTCTGAGCTCCGTGCCCTCGGTATTGCTCCAGTCACTTCTAAATCCAGTTATCCTTTTTTGTGCAATGTGTACTGTAAGCTAAGTAATGTAAAGCAGCTTCTGTGTCTTGTGAAAATCCTTTGTGGGTAGTCATATTTATCTGTAGTGTTGATGTGCTGGTCTCTAAATTTGATTTCAGTCTAAAAGAATATCTGCTAAGGATGCCTTAGCCCACCCCTACCTAGATGAAGGGCGACTGCGATATCACACGTGTATGTGTAAATGTTGCTTTTCCACCTCTACCGGAAGAGTTTATACCAGTGACTTTGAGCCCATCACCAATCCCAAATTTGATGACACTTTTGAGAAGAACCTCAGTTCTGTCAGACAGGTTAAAGGTGAGTGCCTGGTAACCTTTCCCATTCTGTGCCTGTGAAGAACTAAAATCTGGATGCTGACCAGCACTCCTCTGTATATTGATTTTATAAGCTTGCTTACACTTACATGTTTACATCAGGAAAGCTATGTGTGTTATAAAAATGGTGATTTAATATTGAATGCAGAGAGAGGGGCAAAAGTGACTGTTTTCTTATTTTTAAAGCACTCAATATGAGTGTGACTCAAAATATATTTAATATGTCATTCATTAACTGAAGCTCTTGTCTTCTTTTTTAAAAAGGGTTAAAATTCACTGAGGGAACTATTTCTGAAATAATTACTGGAGGAGGGATATCCTGGTTCTTTAAAATGACAGGGCCTAATGCATGCCCTCTGTCGGGATGGAGTGGGCATAATTATATCCAGAATATTGAATGTGTGTCTCCTCTAGGGGATTTAGAAAAGAGAGTAGTTCCCAAAATAACCAACCCAAAAGTTGTACCTAAATACCAAATGAAGTTTTTAAATGATCTTGAAAAAGGCAATAATTATGAGCAGCTTAGAAGAGTTCACCCATTATACCAACCATGTGGAATCTCAGATTTCTAGGCCATTTTGCTTTTCACATTGACAGAGTTCTGGTCTGTGTAATGCCACCCTTGAGCTTGTGCTCGTATTTAGCAACAGCTGTCATTTTGGTTTCAGAAAAGCTCAGTTGGGTCTGCTTGATGGATGACCTGTGTCTTTGAAGTAACTAAACGAGTAGACAGTGCCATTCAGATGCTAAAGTTAGCTGAGAAGCCACTGCTCCCAGGACTGCAAATTGACATGGATTATATGATGCTTGTTTCTCCACAGAAATTATCCACCAGTTTATTTTGGAACAGCAGAAAGGAAACAGAGTGCCTCTCTGCATCAACCCTCAGTCTGCTGCTTTTAAGAGCTTTATTAGGTAACTATATATATGTATTTCTGAAATTCTTAGAAGTTAAAGGATGCTGTTGTGATTGTTATTCAGCACATTTGTGTTTTGGTTAGCATAGATAAAAGATCTGACTAAACCGTTGTGAGCTTTGGCTTTAGTCAAAAGTATATTTAAAATAGAAGGATCAGTTTCAACCCACTGTGGTTGCTTTGACAGCTTTTACCCAGATGCCTGTTGTGCTTGCTGCCTGATCATAATCATGGGGGGAGGTGTGTCCTGCACCAGCAGGATGGCCGGCCGCCACCTGCCCTGGCATTGATCATGTTCGTCTTAGTTCCCATGACCACTCCCACCCTGGTAGTAACCACAAGTAAGAAAATGACCCCTTTTTTTTTTACATGTGACCTCCTCTGTCTTATTTAGAGGAGCAGCCAGCAGGCTTCCGGTAGAGCTGTGAGCCTGTTTTGGAACTTCGCATGATTCCTTCTTCCTGTCTCTCTGTCCTTTCCTTCCCTGGTCTGTTTCTCCTAACTCTTTACATTAGTCAGAGTCCAATCAAGAAAGAAACTGCTCCAGTAAATTATTGTAAGAATCATATATTAGGAAAAGATGGATTCTAAAGGTCCCGGAGCAGCAGATACATGAAGGAACTGCAGACTGAGTGAACAAGGAAGAGATGCCTCTCCACCAGCAACCACTTCAGAGGGAGTGTGTCTGCTACAAGAGCCTACAGCAGGAGAGCAATGAAGAACATCCCAGAAGGTGTGAGCAGAGGACTGCTAGGTTGCAAAGTTGCCAGATAGTTGGGTAGATCAGAGCGGGCCTTGTGCTTCAAAAAGAGAACACCAGAATCAAGCAGAAGGCTGCTTCCCTCCTGGTGTTCGGCCTTTGAGCGCGCTTCCAGCGCCCTCTGTTGACAAGGCTGACAGGAAGCCTGGTGGGAAAGAGGAGCTAAGAAGGGATCTGGCTTCAGTCTCACCAAGTAGGACAGGGTAGGTTAGGATTGAGAGGCTACAGAATCTGCTTTCTTCTCCACCTGCCTTTCTCCCTCTTTCTGCCCTCTCCCTGCCTCTGCTTGCCTTTTCTTCTGTAATGAAGTTATTTGAATTTGTTGAACTGAAGAATGTGTTTGAAAATTGTAGAATCAAGTGACTTTCATTTCTTCTACATATTTTTCTGTAGTAGGAAGGAATTAAGATACATTTTTACTTCTGTGTGACTTCCTTTTTTTGGTTTTACTGTTTTCCCCTAAAAGTCAGAGATCCAGTCAAGTAGGTACAAAACATTTATCATCCTTGGCCACCACACCTCACCCCCATCAAGTTTATAATCGAATTAACACCATACAGTCATAGGAAGTAACCAAAATCTAATCTGTGGATAACAAATGTTAAATTATTATACCTTCTACTCCATTTATAATTTGGTAAAAGAAATCTTAAGACACTCTTTCAAAGTAGGACTCCCCCTGAAAGTCACTGTCTTTTGAGAGGTCATTTTTAAGTGGATAATTCTGCATTCTTTAAGATTATTTTCCTGAATGATAATAGACATCATTTAGAACAACTACAGTTTACATAATAACAAACATAATGGAAAATGTATATATTATATCAGTTATTCATCACTGTGTGGCAGATAGCATTATCCTTCCTAAAGGAAAAAAGATAAAGGAACTTGCTCAGTGCCCAACTTTAAATAACATCTTGTCAGGCCTGGTGCAATAGCCTAGTGGCTAAAGTCCTCACCTGCACATGCTGGGATCCCATATGGGCGCCGGTTTATGTCCCAGCAGCTCCACTTCCCATCCAGCTCCCTGCTTGTGGCCTGGGAAAGCAGTGGAGGATGGCCCAAAGCCTTGGGACCCTGCACCTGCGTGGGAGACCCAGGGGAGGCTCCTAATTTCAGATCAGCTCATCTCTAGCTGTTGCTGCTACTTAGGGAGTGAACCAGCAGTTGGAAGATCTTTCTCTGTCTCTCCTTCTCTTTGTATATCTGACTTTCCAATAAAAAAAATAGTAATAACATCTTCATGCCCAGGGATTAATCACTATACCATATCAACTTATTATAGATACCATGTTCTTAAACGGACAATTTGAAGCAAATTTAACTTTGTAAAAGTTAAAGCAAAACGCTGAACTTTATGCTAGGCATGTGTTTGCAAGGAATGAATCTCAACAGAACTTGAACTATGGTTATGCAACAAGGTGGAGGAATCCACCATGGGGGGAGGGGTATGGGAGGGGTGGGGGGAATCCCCAGCGCCTATAAAACTGTACCACATAATACAATGTAAACAACAATAAAAAAAAAAGTTAAAGCAAAAATAAAAATCCAGAAATGGGCTTAATTTTTTTTTTAAAGGAAGAGAGGAAGAGACAGGCTTTTCTGACTTGCTCTGTTGCCCCCTGGAGTATTACAGCTAATTTCACCATTTCTGCCTTTTTTATTTTAGTTCCACTGTTGCTCAGCCGTCTGAGATGCCTCCATCTCCACTGGTGTGGGAGTGACTGTGGATGATAATGTACTACTGAAGATGTGATGTAGCTTTCCACTGGAGTCTGGGATTTGCAATTCTGGAGGTTAATCATGCTTGTACTGTAATTTTACTAATGAAGTTTTAAATTAACAACCACTACTTGTATGATATGAATAATATTTAGAAATGTTACTAGACTTTTAAATCTTGTAAAGTGGTTGTGCTTTTAGAAGAGAAATATTTTACCAGAGTTGCACATGTTTTATGAATTTAGTGCAGCTGTTATGGCTCACCTCAGAACAAAAAATTGAACCAAATTTGGGAGTTTGGGGTTCTGTGTTTTTGTTTTGTTTTTCTTTTTTTTTTTTTCTTTCTTATTTTTTTAATGAAGTGAGATTGTTCACACACACACACACACACACACGAACGACAGTCATACATGATGATATCATGATGATATTTGAGCCATTCCTAAAGATTTGGGGTTTTCTAAAACTAAAAAAATCTAGAAGCCTTGCCTGCGACCAATCATGGAGCCACAGGAGCTGACTGTGGCTGCACCTAGGGGGGAGGGTCGGGAGGAGGGGCATGCCACCGAATCATCAAGCCCTATAATTAGCTTCTCGTTAGAGCTGTGATGGTGATGTGTGCTGTCTAAAATCCAATGTTGTGGGTAGAGAGAATGAGTTTGTGACTAGGCAAGACTAAACTTTTTGTTTTCCTTACCCAGTATAAATATATATATATATATTTAATCTATTTTTATTAGAACTTTTTCTGCTCTTTCTTACATAAAAAAAAAATCCAAGCATGCATCTTTCATGTGTGTAAATAATTCATTTCTGGGCTAATTTCAAAAGAATCCCAACATTGCTGTATAGAGAGAGAACTAGCTTGCACATTTTAGGTCTGTGAAATTTTGTGAGACTTTTCCTGCACTGGACAGTGAAAAATAATAAATAAAAGACAAAAACAAATTTAAAAAAATTTTAAAGCCACAAAAAAAGGCACATAGGGGATTATGTCAAATGTGTTTGTGTCCTTAGGCAAAGCTGTGGGAGTCTTGAAATGTCACAGTAGTAAATAACTTATTACTTTTTGACAAAGTCTTTTTCCTGTTGGAACACTGAATTCTTCTGTGCATATGTATATATGAATACAAATTGAAGGCCTCTACCTCCTGGAGCTATACAACTTGGCTTGTTTACCTCCACATGATGATGACTATTTTTTTTTTTTAAGTTCAATGTGGAGACTTGAAACTTGAATGTCCCTTCCAACTTTTATATTAAAAAATAAAAAGACAAGAAAATTGAAGATCGTTTTTCACCTGTACAAGGAGTACTAATGGATCGTCTTAAAATTGGTCTAGGAAAAAACCTTGGTGTGTGTTATGGACAATTAACTGTTAAAGTTATTGTAAGTTACCTGTATTTAGCAGAGTATTTTCATCTTGAGTGATCTGAGCTGAATTTGAAGACTATTAGTAAGTTATGTTTGGAAGTTTTAACTTCAATGAAGTAATTATTTGCTGTGAAAGAAACAAACATTGAATTACTAAACAAAGATGGTGCAATATCTTTGTTTTTTTTTTATGAGGCTCCTGAGAATCAACCCAACTGAAGCATTTCAATTCACTTGAATGAGAAACGTGTTTAGTATCAAAAGAGCCCGAGAAGACACTGGTGTGAAAGGTACAATCTCAGAGGTTGGTCAATTACCGTGGCACACTTTCTGGTCACTTTGTACAATGTAGATTTGAAGTACAGTGGTGAAAACATTAAATGTGACATTTGAAAAAAAACGTGTCATCTGTTTTATTTCAATTCCTTCAGTACAAAACCTTGCTAAGTCTTGAAATATTTCCTACTTACATTTCCACTTCAGCCTTTGAGGAAATTAGAACTTTTCTAAAATCTTCCTAGAAGCTGCATCGGCAAAAACATTGAAAATTTAGTTAACTAATACCAAAAACACTGATTTGAATATATACAATATGGATAGCCAATTCAAATTCTATGGTTTTCCTTTACTTTCCATTTTGAAGCAAAGAACCCTATTTTCATATGAAATCCAGTATATTTCAGTGTAACCTATTAAGCAAAAGTAGATTGCTTTCAATGGATCACTGGCACTTCCAGCTAAGATGTCTCAGTTTGGTGTAGGGATTAAGATCGGAAATAAGACTACCTAACCACAGAATGCATTCATTGAAGCTAGATGAAGTGACATTGCTCTTAAGTCTGTTGATAACATGAATTTTTCCTTCAGCCTTTTCTAATTTAGCAAAACGAATCGATGTTTTCCCCTGATATGGGAAAATTGTTCAGTACAAACACATATATTAATGTATTAACTCAGCAAACTTTGAACACCTAGTAAGTCTAAGAGTTAGTTATAAGGAAGCTACATTACTGTCAACAAATGCTTAATTAAGAAAACCAGTTTTCATCATTTAGAAGAATTCTTTTGAAACTGAAGTTCCTCACAGATAAAATTTTAGAGAAAAGGTATTGGTCAGCTTCCTGGATTTGTGTAGTAAATCATGGAATTGTGTATTATTTATTTACCATAAAGGATGGACAGATAAGTTAGGGGTGCCATCTGCAATTTGTTTGCTGTTTAAATATAAGAGCCCAGGGTGGGTCTTCCACCCTAGTGGTTGACACTGGAAGATAGCTTAAGAGATTAGGGACCTATCGCCTGCATGGAACATTTAGGTTGAGTTAGCGCTCAGCTTCAGCCTGACCCAGCTGTGGCCACTGAAGGCATAGAATACAAAATGTGAATGAGATTCAGGCAACTTGAGGTGTTTTCATAAAACAAATGTATTTTGCTGTCAACAGAGCTTCACTGAAGACAATTCTCAGATTCCTTCACAAAGAACTCAGAGGTCCAGTGCAAAAATGGTGTACAAAGGAAGCTGCGAAAATGGCAGAGAACTTGGCAGAGACTGCGTGAAACAGTAATGCCTGGGGAGTTGGGCTGACAGGGCAGCAGTGTTAAATAAGGCCACATACACCCCTGAGGGCAAATGAGGCCTCTGGCAGCTCTGGCATTTGCTTTGTTTTCTTTTTTAAGACTTCTTTTCTTTGGGAGGTGAGATTAGGGAGAGAGACCTGCCCTCTGTTGATTCATTCTCTGAATGGCCGTAATGGCCAGCGCTGGGCCAGGTAGAAGCCGCGAACCCGGAACTGCATCCTAGTCTCGCATGTGAATAATGAGGGCCCTGCTTTCCCAGCCTGTTAGTAGAGAATTGGACCAGAAGTGGAACAGTTTTTAAGAGTCAACAACGTTTTCCTACTTCTCCTTCTTTCCCCTTGGGATTTCCTTTTACACTCCCTCTCCAAAGTCACTGTCTCCAAATTACAACATAAATAAAGACCAACACAGGGTCATTGTTACAGCACATCAGGTTAAGCCACCACTTGAAACACGGTGTCCATGTTGAAGTGTTGGAATCCTGGTCACTCTGTAATACAATTTCCTGCTAATGTGCCTGGAAAGGCAGCAAAAGCTGACCTCAATACTGGGGCCCTTGTCACACATTTGAAAGGCCAGCATGGTGTTCTGGCTGTTAGCTTCAGCCTGGCCCCAGTCTGGCTTTTGAATGCTTTCAGGCAGTTAACACACACAAAAAAGAAAAAGGACAAGAAGAATTTCTTGGCACAATAGTGCCATGTTCTGCGAATAAAGGACAAAATGGGGCCCGGCGCCATGGCCTAGTGGCTAAAGTCCTCACCTTGAATACGCCGGGATCCCATATAGGCACCAGTTCTACCCTGGCAGCTCCACTTCTCATCCAGATCTCAGCTTGTGGCCTGGGAAAGCAGTCGAGGACGGCCCAAAGCTTTGGGACCCTGCACCCGCGTGGGAGACCTGGAAGAGATTCCTGATTCCCGGCTTCGGATCAGTGCAGCACCGGCTCTTGCAGTCACTTGGGGAGTGACTCATCGGACGGAAGATCTTCCTCTCATCTCTCCTCCTCTCTGTATGTCTTTGTAAAGGACAAGATGAAGCAGTTCTTGTCTATAAACATCTCACCGTGAGGCCAGCCTTGTGGCATAGCAGGTACTACTGCCTACAACACCAGCATGCCATGTGAGTGCTAATTGATGCAAGTCTCTGCTGTACTTCAGATCCAGTTCCCTGCTAACGGCCTGAGAAAAGCGGCAGATGACCCATGTGCGAGACTAGAGGACCTTGGTCCCTGGCTTCTCCCTTGCCCAGCCTTGGCCTTGGGAGTAAATCACCAGATGGAAGATACCTGTGTGTGTCCCCCTCTATGTAACTGTGATTCAGATAAGTAAATATTTGGGGGTGGGAGGATGAAAACTCAATCTCTCACCTGACTGCATCCGTCCTCAGAGAACCCCTTGAAACCACAGCAAAGGAAACATCAAGGACAGATAATGAGGCTGACCAGGTAACAGACTGCTAACGTGTGTCTGACTTAAAATTTGAGAAGTGTAATGTAATGCTTTTTATGGAAACATACAAAATGAAGGCAGGCTTTTTAAAGAGGAGAAAAATACATTTTGTCTGCTTGTTTGGCAAATGAAGAGTTTCCAGTTAGTTTACATGGCAGACATTTTTCATAGTTGGAATTAGCCAGAATCTGCAGCTACAAGATTCTGGAGGTATATATATATATATAAATTATATAAAATTTTATATATATAAAATATATTTTTGAAGCAATATTATATAAATTTCAAAGTATTTTTGGCAAGTATTTGGAGAAATTGGAACCCTTGTGCACTGCTGAAGGGGGTGTAAAATGATGCAGCTGATATGGAAAACAGTCTGCTGACTTCTCAGAGAATTTACTCTAGCAGGTCCATTTCTATATATAAAAGATGTAAATCAAAAATCACTAAGAAATAGAAGTCTGACGCCATGGCATTTCAGGTATAGCCACTATCTGTGATAGCAGTGTTCCTTATAGGCCCCAGTTGGAGTCCCTGCTGCTCCGCTTCTCATCCAGCCCCCTGCTGATGTATCTGGGAGAGCAGCAAACGGTGGCCCAAGTGCTCAGGACCCTGATCCCGTATGGAATACCACAAAGATCCTGGCTTCAGCCCAGCCCAGCTCTGTCATGCACATTGGGGAAGCAAGCCAGTGGATAGAAGATACCACTTGGTGCTTATCTCTTTCTGCAGCTGCCTTTGAAATGAATAAAATAAATTCTTAAAAAATAAAAAGGAAAGAGACTGTTGGATATGCTTACACCATTGTTCATAACAATTCAGTGGCCACATGGTAGAAACAACTAAAATGTCTGCCAAGGAGTAAATGGATACATACAGAGAGGTGAATACAGGCACCAGCAAGCAGAAAGTCCAGGCTTACACCTGTGGCTGGAAGAGCAATCTCTCTAACACTGACTTTCAAGTAAAATTAAATCATTTTTTAAAAAGGGAAAGAAGTTATGATACAATATGGCTGGACTCTCTTTACAAATTTATTTAGACTTTTATTGGAAAGGCAGATCAGATCTATGGAGAGACAGATCTTCCATCTGCTGGTTTACTCCCCAAATGGCCTCAACAGCTGGAGCTGAGCTGATCTGAAAGCAGGAGCCAGGAGCTTCTTCTGGGTCTCCCACGTGGGTATAGAGTCTCAAGGCTTTGGGCCATCCTCAACTGCTTTCCCAGGCCACAAGCAGGGAGCTGCATAGGAAGTGGAACAACCAGAACATAGACTGGCCCCAAATAGGGTCCTGAAACTTGAGGTGGAGGATTAGCCATTCACACTGGATCCAACCTTTTTTTTAAAAAAAAAAAAAAGATGCTTTTATTTGAGGACCTGGTGCAGAAGCCTAATGGCTAAAGTCCTTGCCTTATATGCGCCAGGATCCCATATGGACACCGATTCATGTCCCAGCTGCTCCACCTCCCTTCCAGCTCCTGGCTTTGCACCAGCTCAGCTCCAATTATTGCGGCCACTTGAGGAATGAGCCAGTAGA